TATGGCAATTACTTCCATATATTTATTTTTCTATTGAAAAAATAAAATTAACCGAAGATATATTTAGCTTTTCTAAGTAATGACTGATCTTTATTTTTTTCATTATAATAGTAATAAGTTACAAAACATAAAAGTGTTCAGACTTCCAGCCTTCTTCAACAGATAGAAAATTAGTCACTGAAGCTATCTCTGATCTCTCAAATACTTGTTAACCCTTTTTTTAAATTCCTGTAATTTTGCAGTCTCTACCAATCCAGATACCAATTTATTTTACAGATCTACTACCTTAATAGAAACATAAAATTGCTTTAATTGGATATGTCTGACTTTTCCACATCCTACATTTATGACCTCTTGTCCTACTGCCCTCAGAATTCAACATGAAAAAGTCTGATGTTCTCAGTCTTACAAATTTCCTTAATTATTTTGAATACTTTCTAAGCTAAGGAAATCAAAACTGCAAATTTAGTAGTTTAGAGATGGTGTTGATATACTGTTTGGTCCACTACTGCTAACACTTATTATTATTTTTAAGCTTGTGTAATAATTTAAAGATTTATTTTCTTTGATAAAATATTACACAGATTAATATAATATTCCTTTCACACGTTGACTGCTGACTAGGAGTATACTTGTGGTACCAGGTAGAACAGATTCAGCCACTATGAGAATACTCGTAGAAAAGATTATGCTATTGTAAACTGAATAATGCTGGCATCCCAGATAATGCAACAATCTGCTGGCAGTTTAGGAAACATGAATCTATGTTATAATCATGATCAAATATGTATTATATCATTATTTGTGCTATTGAAATTCACTAATATGCACAAACACGATATCTCCACAAAGCTCACTTCAACACAACTAAGACTAAAGAAGAGATGGTTACAAGATGAAAATAAATGATTAAAACTGAAGCAAAGTTATTCTACATGATCCATGACATTTGATCAGGTCTGAATCAATAAGCAGTTGATAGTCAATGAACATTTTCAAAATATATTATTTTATTCTTTCAATGTTACATGAACTAATAAGTTCTCACATCACAACTAAATGACAAAAAAAATAATGTCTAGTAAATGATTACAAATGTCTCTTTGTCTTCTTGTTTATCTGTCCATTATTGAGGCACATGGTATTGCTTGAAACAATTTTCTACACAGAGGGCTGGTTTTTCAGGGCAAACATCACACACGTAGCAGCTTTCTCATCTCCTTCCAGCCTTTGTGCAGACAAAATATGGTTTGATTGTCTTCCCTTTCTTTTCTGTGGGTGGCGAACATATGAGATAGTGAAACGATTAATCTTGTGGAATTGGAGTTGCATGTCAACCCTGGCCTTTAAGATCCACCATGGTATTTACTATCAGATGAATTGTTACCTGTTCATGAAACTTCAAGTTTCATTTGCTCTCCCTTATTTTTCTTGTACAGAATATGGACATTCAGAATAAATATTTCGATGGTGTGAATGGCAATCTTCTTATACCATTATACAGTTTTTTTGTAGAGCTGAGTAATGCGATAACATTTGGTCATATCTGTCTATCCCTGACATGCCATTGTTGTAACCATGGACAATATTGGAATATTTCGATTTGTTACATCAACTATCTCCACTCTGTGCATATTGTTAATTGTGAGCATGTCCCATTTCTCCATCCTATTACAAACCACCACTGATTCTGACCACTTCCATTCATGTTCCCTCTTCAATTTTTTTCCTGACCAAATCCATTGGTGTTCTACATAAATAGGTTGATTGCTCAGTCAGTTTTTTCACCAGACCCACAAAATTGTAATAATTATCTGTGTATAAAACATGACCTTTGTCCAGGTTATCAGCTATCAGGTCAAGTATCTTCTTCAAGAGAAGCTCCAGAGTATACACAAATTTTCAGCACCAGATTCATATGGTTCATAGAGTTTGATTACATATTTGTAGCACTTACTTTTGATATATTGTCGAAACAAGAGCCTACCACACCAAAGTACCATGGACTCATTGATGCACAAATCTTTTCCTGGATGGTAAATGTGGACCATATCATTATTGAAGTGATCTAGGAGGGGTCGAATCTTATAAAACAATCATCTTGGGGATGGGAATTGTCTACAAAATGCCAAAAACGTAAGATCATATGAAAGCGGTTGTGGCTCATAACACCATTGTAAAATGATGTCTTGAACAGAATATCAATACTCCAAGGTAGGCAGGCTGTTTGGACTCATGTGAATCAACAAGGCTAGAAACTTTTTCATTTCTGTTGCATCAGTGTCCTTCCAGTATTTTAGTTGTGATTCTCTTCACAATGGTTGCTGTTTGGTTATTTTGGTTTGTTTCTGTGACCAGGAATAGGTCAAAATAATCACTAGGTGAACCATCTTATAACTGAATTCTAGGACCGGAGTTTTCATTGAAAGTAAAACTACGTGAATCTTGTGCAACATTTGACCAATTTTGCAATGAAACTGTAGGGTTCACATTTCCAACTGTTCTGCCTGGTGCTGGATCAGTGGCTGCTCTTCCATCACAAACTGGTCTAGCAGACCCACATCCATCACCTGTTGTCCTTACTCCATGACCGTGTGATCATCTGGTGCAGACCCCACAAACTCTAGGTCTTCAAAATACCGCTGGTACTCCATTGTCATCACTTGATGAATACGAGTTTGATGAAACCCTTGGTTTGCCATTATCACTGGACTGGTTATCACTCCTATCTTCAGTTGTCATTTTGAAAATCACTGTCATCTGAGGGCATTTCTGCAGTCCCTTCATCAGACTCCATGTCTTGATCATAATTGTCATCATTATCAGTTTCTTTTAGAAGCTTTGCAACTTGATCTGCATTCATGTGCCATTTTGAAAGGTAATAACAGTAGCAACAAAAAACACATAGTACACAGCACACAATTGCCAATTGCAGAAACTTAGTACCAAAGTCAATTCAGCACTAAAAATGTACCTGGCATATATAATTGAAAATCTTGTTATGCCACCAGCTACAAGTTTTTCATAACATGGTAATTCCCCACCATTGTATTGGAAATGAAGTTATAATTACTCATAAAAGGGTAAAATTTAAAAATAAAGCATATGCATGTCTGACGTGGCAAGCAGGATGGATGTATACTACAAGCGTTGGCAGTCAACGTGTTAAAGACTTAATTCACAAAGTTTTCCTATTTACAAAAACAGCCCTTAATGACTAAAAGTATAACACAAAGTTTACAATAAGGCCACTTTCATTTTTATCTTAATATACTTAGCAGGATTACCTCATAAGGATTTCTTTAAATACATTAATGGTAAGTAAAACATTAAGATAAGAGTAGGGCCTTTGAAGAATGATAAATGAAGGCTTGTTTCTAATGATTATGAGATGGCTGGGTTATTAAATTCTTCTCTTCCTTTTCTTTTAGTTTCCTACTTGAATAACCGTGGTAACTGTAGAAGGTCATAAAAATTGTCCAAGTACTTATAGGTCCATCACTATTATATTAGTGGTGGGAAAATTTCAAAAGCCTGATAAAAGTTGCTTTGCAAAGTCATTTAAGAATGTTTAAAATTCTGTTGGAGAATCAATGTTGCTTTGCTTAAGGAATCTCTTGCCTTACTTATCTTTTGCCATTTTTTTGAAGAGACTACTGTTTATATCGGTCATAATAAAAGTTTGGATTTGGTCTGGATATTCAAAAAGCATTTAACAATGTACCACATAGAAGACTTGTAAAAACATTATCTATATAAGTGTGAGGAACAGACTGGCTCATAGGATAGAAAAGTAGATAGATTAATGTCACAATTGGAGTACCTCAGAACCTTTGATCTTTTTGATTTACATCAATAACATATATGAAAGAATTGCTAATAAGTTATTTAAGGTTGCTTATAATATTAAGGTCTTGGTTGTTGTTGATTGTGAAGAGGATGCTGTTGTTTTACAAAAGGATTTAGATTATTTGGCAAGTTGGGTGCATAAATGGCAGATGACTTTAAATTATAATAAATGCAAAGTAATGCATGTGGGTTATCATAATTTAAATTATAAATATAATTTTGATGGGAATAACCTTAGCGATATTATGGAAGAAATGGATTTTGGTATTCTGGTTGATCAGTCTCTTAATCCATCCAAGCAGTTTTTTGTTGCTAGTCAGATAGCATACTGGATTTTAGGTTGTATCTACAAAAATATTGAATATAAGTCTAAAGAAAATATAATTTCATTGTAAAAGTCACTAGTTAGGCCTCACTTAGAGTATTTTTTCCAGTCTTTGGCTCCTTACCTTAGAAAGGACCATTAATTGTTGGAAATAATTCAGAAAAAGGCTACCAGTATAATACTTGAGATAAAAGGGTTATAAGAGGTCAAGTTATTTCTGAAAATGTTTTCTCTTGAAGAAAAGATGAGTTAGAATGGATCTGATTGTGGTTTTCACTATTACGGGAAGCTGATAGTGTTGATGCATCATTGTTTTTTCTTTCATAATTAATGATTAAAATGGTATAACTATGGGGTACAATTATAAATTTTATAAATACAGGCATCATCTTCAGTTAAGACAGTTTTATTTTTCTAATAGAATGGTTGCATTTGAAATGGGCTGCCTTCAGATGTAGTGGATTCAGTAAATTTAATGGTAGGCTTGATAAATATTTAGGTAAAGGTTGGCTACGAGTTATTTTTTATTTAATGCTTAGTTTAGTTGATGAGCAGCCTAAATGGGCTAGCAGGTCCCTTTGTTATCTTTAAAGATAAACTTTATGTTATAATTTCATTAATTGTCATACACCTCAGACAATGGCTTTATCATTTACAGAATGCTACATTTCAGAAACCACTTTAAAATTCCTGAAAAAGTGTCCCTTATGTATTTTGTTACATACTGCAACCATTAAGTTGATTCATAAGTGTTCAGTCTATTCACCATTGTTATAATATACAAAATGCACACATGAAAATTGAAATGTTGAAACATGCAACTCACTTCATACTTTGGAGCATTATTCAGTTGTGGATAATTTCCTTGACTATCTCCATTGTGAAGTAAATGATTATCTACAAGATTCCACCCCCAGCTTTCTGAATTTGACCCTAACAATGCAACATAGCCTGTACACTGCACAGGGGCCTTTTTTGTTGCAATTCCTATAACAGCAACAGTTCCTAATGGTCCTTCCCACCAAACTTCCCAACAGTGACGACCTGTTCTGAAACCTATTTTCCCCTTGGCAGCATCAGTACTCTGAGCAACAGGATTTCTATGTAAAGTAAAGCCATTAGGTTTAATATATATATTTCTAGAGCACTCATTGGGATCCCAAGCATGAAAGAAAGCACGAAGTTTTGCTTTATATGTCGGAGCACTCGAAAGTAAATCCGATTTCAATGCTTCTTCTGCAAGTTTTCGTATACAGTGCATCCTCCACACATCATTGTTTTCGTCAGTTAAAAGTTTATACCAGTGTTTACACACTAATGAAGAACTCCTTAGATCAGTTAAATCTAAGAAACTAAATATTGTTTCCAATACACTGTGAGACAGATGAGCCCACTTGGCCGCAGCCATTATAATTCAAAAAACTCAATTCACATCTCGTGAAATCTCGCCTTAAATGTTACCTTTATTTTGAGTTGCTTAACTTTAATGTATTAACACAATTACGACGAATAGTGAGAGTTTACGTGAGTGATATGGCAATATTTAGTGAAATCAACGTTAGATGGCCTTGTGTAATCTTAAGTTTGTGACAACATTATATTCAGCAGTATTTGTGCTTCGTCGTTATTTGATTAGAAAATATAAGACTAAGACCGTGAAAGCATGGACAGAAATTTTTATACGTAACGTGACACTCAAAAGGTTTTGCATGAGAAAGTTTCAAAGTAAACATGGAATGCCTTATCTTCAAAAGGATTCACAAGATTGTGAGGGTAAGATTATGACTTGTACTTTTAGTAAGTCCCCGTTATAAATATGTGTTTGTGGCGTAGGCCTAACGAACTTTGAAATGTAAAAAGCTTTGAATAAGGAAAAACGATTTGTAAACTGTAGTTTATATATAAGAACAAAAAGATTTTATAAGGTTAGCACTTTGTTTTTGTTTAGAATCAGGTATTAGTGAATGATACTTCATACTAATATTTATAGTGGAACATTGATGTTCTTGTAAGTTGTAATGCTGAGTGTCTGTAAAGTGTAAACTAAGTATCACTACCACCCACTATCAGGAAAGCCGTTTTTCTTTGGAGATTCTATAAGAATTGCTTTTATATAATCGATGTCCTGATTGATATCTAAAAGGTAGAGCATATTTTGCAGGTTTTTTTTAAAGTACACTGTACAGTGCATGTAGACAAGATTTGCAATTAATGAATTATGAAAACTAAACTTAAAGTTAACTTAAACTGTCAAATGATGTGAATAGCTTGTAATTTTGTATGTTGTTTTTGTAGTCAAATAAAAGTGTTGTTATGATAGTATAACATTTATTTTTAAGTAGGGGGTTTTGTTGATTTTTAACTAGTGACAATAACAAAAAAAATTTACAACCAGTGGATTCCATAGTCAAAAACTAATAGACATACAATCTGAATTATGTATTTAATAATTAATATTAATACAATTAATAATCAAACCTGTCAAGGCAAGATACGATATATCCCTAATAAAGTAACTTCAATTTATATTATATTGATAAATAAAGTGAAAACTACCAACAACCAAATGTTCAAAATCAAGTATGAACTTGCATATTTACCTATCATCTCTCCCCCTTGAGGTGGATTCTCGTATGTGGTGAAGGGACCTCCCAAGGAAGGTTCTGTATTTTCAGTTTATCTTCTCTGAGGTCTGAACGGTGTTTGCCATGTGTGGTGACCCATGAAGGGGAGGAGAGGATCCTGGTGGTTGAGTGGTGTTTGGGGCACTGCAACTCATCACTTTGGCCTTGAATTCTTGTAGAGGGATGGCCTTGGGGTGCCCCCCCCCCCCCATGGTCAGTAGGCTGGTCTTATTGGGCTAGAGTCAACTGAGTACCAGTGTTGGGCATTCTCAGTGGGTGTTGTGGACATTGTGTCTGATGCTGGTGTTTGGGTATAGTGCTCATGAAGCAGTGGCATTGCTGCAGTGTTCTTGTTTGGCATTGTAGTGCATCCCCTCATAAAACTGTATGATGGGTGGGTCACTGGGCACTGAACCATTCTCCTTTTATTATGGATCCCCTAAATTCTCAAAAGAAATAAAATAGTAAAAACTCAGCTTATTGGTAAATGACCATGCCTTGAAAACTCTGATCTTCAGTCTTCAACTTATCTTGCTACTGTACCTCATTTTTTGATTTTGCATTTCTTGTCAGAAAAAAACCTGTAGGACAAATGTCTCCCTTTTTTATTCAGAAGGGATTAGAGGGGCTTGCTGGCTCTCCAAAGTATGTCAAGAAGCTACATTCTGAAGACATCTTGGTGGAAACATCTACACAAAAAGATACCGAACTCCTCCTGAATTCTAAGGCCATGGGGAATATACCCATTGAGGTTACTCCCCATGCAACTTTGAATTCCTCACAAGAAGTTATTGTTGAGAGAGATTTGAAGAACATCCCCGAGTCGGAGATCCTCACTGGTTTCTTCTGCCAAGGAGTTTCTACAGTGTGATGTATCTCTACTCGTAAAGATGGAATTATGCTGCCTACTAATGTTCTCATTTTGACATTTACATCTCCATGTCTGCCTGCCTCTGTTAAGGTAGGTTATCTTCATTGTAAGATACAGCCATATATTCCTAACCCTCTCTGGTGTTTTCAGTGTCAGCGGTTTGGTCATTCAAAGGCATTTTGTCATGGTTCTGTGATATGGTTCTTTGTGGTGACAAAGACTGTAACACCTATCGGCACGGGTACCCTTTACTGCGCATGACACAAGGTTTTAGTGTCTTACATTCAAAACTTTATTAAACTACTTTTTGTTTATGTCACACCAATTAGAGTAGCATAAAATCTCAGCTAATAATCTATATTTTAATAATATACAAGTTTTAAGTTCTTAATTCTAAGAGGAAATATATAAAAAATCCTGGATTTCCATTTGTGTAACACACATGACAAATTTTGTCTTAGTGTGTCATCATTCCTATTTTATCCATCACCCCTTAAAAATGTATGAAATTAAACGTAAAATGCTCTCTATAAAACCTTTATTATTCAAACAGACCATAATTTTTATG